CAAACCGTGCGGCGCGGAAACCAGGGCTAATTTTTTGTTTTCAGCAACCCTTGTGATCAGTGTTGCAGAAGTCAAAAAACCTGATTATCAGTGTGACACCTTGTTCAAACCCTGATCCATTAGGGTTTTCCTAGTTTTTGAAAATTATACCCTGTAGGATCTGTGTACCAGTTTTGCAAACCCTGGTGTATTGATGTTATCGTTGGCAGGCAATAACGAAACTGTATTTCTGGAAATTGGAGGCCCCCCTCATGCCAGCTCAGATATTGCCTTTGTCAAATTTCAGTTTCGACAGTTGGCACGCGAGAACCTCGGGTTACGGGAAAGGGGGGGTGGGGTAGGGGGGGGGGGGGGGGGCGCTTGGGGGGGGTATGTACTCGATTCAGGGTAAAACTCGTTATGAAGATCGGTAACCCTGGGCCGTCAGTGTACCTTAGACGTAAACCCTGGCCTATCAGGAAAATACAAGCTCCTGAGAAAATTACCCTAAGGCATCAGTGTGACAGCCAAAAACCACCCTGATTATCAGGGTATCAGGGTGATTTACCCTGATAAAATTAGCCCTGGCGGGAACCCGTTTCAAACCTGTTCCCGCTCTTTTCACTTCAAATGTTTCTGCCTGCATCGGTCTTGATCAGACGGTTGCTGCGTCGCTTCGACTCTTCTGACTCCTCGACTTCGTACTCGGTAGAGTCGGCTCCTGCAGCATACAGGAATGCCTACTCATGTAATTTCATATCGTAACACCATGGAATGGAACGAGATGTTGAACTTGTATATTTGTGGCTCAATTCGAACACTCCTCAATCTGAAATGTGATACCGTGCCCTTAGTAGGGATGGTGGTCGAGTCACTAGGGCGTCTCTAGGTCAAAAGGTATGGAGGTTGCAGGAGACTGAGACAAATAATAAATAAATGTACGACAATACCACTTCATCCTACCTCTGATATCAATCAATTAGACTAGGATCATGAAAATGACTCCCATTCATCCATTTCACCAATCTAAAGTGCCACGGCATTTGAATACCAAAATACATGTAGTAGAAGTCATCCCTCACCTTCTTGGGTCCTACTACTTTCTTGGGGCAATTCTTGAACATTGGTCGTTTCTTCAAAATATCCGAACCTTTTCTAACACCCAGGTTGTTGTTGGCATAATCAATGAATTGTGCCGAAGCAGAAGTTACATTGATATGCCGATGGGTGTTCAATTTCGAAACGTTCGGCAACTGCTCGCAGTAACGGTGATTCATGTCTGCATCTCGCACGTCGACCAACACCAGGTCGATGTAATTATTTGTGGGCAGCCCGCTGCACTTGCCTGTCTCCGTGTCCTTTAAGGTGCCCGGCGCGTTTGTGTTACACGGAACCCCGTTAATGGATGTCTCGGAACAAGTGTTCTTCATCCATGGCCATCTCTGAAAAGGAGGCACTCAACAAGGGGGACAAAAATGACAAAAAAAAACTACATGTATTATATTGATTACAGTTTCAAAACTTAGGTGCACCGTAGGGACGACTGTAGCTGGCTGAATTGCTGGTACTCGCATAAAGTCGGGCGCTACAAAGTGAAATTACTGGTGATGATTGTTCGAAGGCGGTTGAACCTCCTTGACTTGACTTACCTGCTGAAACACGGCACTGCTGTAGTACTTGGCTCGCACGCGGTCCCAGTAGCTGCCACAGCCCCAGACGCAGTTGCACATTTCTCTAGAAGATCTTATGGGTTGGCTTATAAGTGGTACAGGACCCACCTGCTGAAACGCGGCAGTGCTGTAGTACTTGGCTTGCATGCGGTCCCAGTAGTTGCCCGGGTCCTTGAGGCAGTTGCAGATGGTGGCAGTGAGGCACGTGCACCACCCTGGCGTGCCCTCCAAGCCCTTCATCACCACATGCTGAATGCGGTTCCTGTGGGAAGAAGAGGGCAAAAGGGCCACGGGTGGTCACACAGTAGGTTTTAAGGTGACAGAGTGGCAGTGAGGCACGTGCACCACCCTGGCGTGCCCTCCAGGCCCTTCATCACCACATGCTAAATGCGGTTCCTGAGGAGGACAGGGGGGCAAGAGGAGCAAGAGATGGGGAACGCGGAAGGATACAGTGACACAATGCCAGACCAGTGCCCTTCATCACCACATGCTGAATGCGGTTCCTGTCAGGCAAAGAACGGTTCCTGTCCGGCAAAGAACGGTTCCTGTCAGGCAAAGAACGGTTCCTGTCAGGCAAAGAACGGTTCCTGTCAGGCAAAGAACGGTTCCTGTCAGGCAAAGAACGGTTCCCGAGGAATCTGTTAGGATATGGGTTGACACAACACCGCTGTCCACCCCGGCACTCCATCACCACGTGACTGAGTCGCTTCAAAATTCTCCTGTCAGGCAGAGAACGGATGGGGAAGGGAAGGTGGTGGTACGATATGGGTTGACACAACACCGTGGTCAGACACGTGCGCCACCCCGGTGTGCCCTCCGTGCCTTCCATCACCACATGCTCTATGCAGCTCCTGTGGAGGGAAGAGAAAAGAATGGGGGAAGGTGGTGGTAGGATATGGGTTGACAAAGCACCGTGGTCGGACACGTGCACCACCCCGGTGTGCCCTCCGTGCCCTTCATCACCACGTGCTCCATGCAGCTCCTGTTTGGAAGAGAAGAGGATGGGGAAGGTGGTGGTAGGATATAAGTTGACACAACACCGCTGTCCACCCCCACGCTTCATCACCACGTGGGGAAGAGAGAGTGGTGATTGGGGAACATGGCACTGCTGCAAGAAAGGAAGCATGTATGAAAAGAGGCATGCATGAAAGGAAGCATGCAAGAAAGGAAGCATGCATGAAAAGAGGCATGCATGAAAGGAAGCATGCATGAAAAGAGGCATGCATGAAAAGAGGCATGCATGAAAGGAAGCATGCATGAAAAGAGGCATGCATGAAAGGAAGCATGCATGAAAAGAGGCATGCATGAAAAGAGGCATGCATGAAAGGAAGCATGCATGAAAAGAGGCATGCATGAAAGGAAGCATGCATAAAAGGAAGCATGCATGAAAAGAGGCATGCATGAAAGGAAGCATGCATAAAAGGAAGCATGCATGAAAAGAGGCATGCATGAAAAGAGGCATGCAAGAAAGGAAGCATGCATGAAAAGAGGCATGCATGAAAGGAAGCATGCATGAAAAGAGGCATGCATGAAAAGAGGCATGCATGAAAGGAAGCATGCATGAAAAGAGGCATGCATGAAAGGAAGCATGCATAAAAGGAAGCATGCATGAAAAGAGGCATGCATGAAAGGAAGCATGCATAAAAGGAAGCATGCATGAAAGGAAGCATGCATGAAAAGAGGCATGCATGAAAAGAAGCATGCACCGACCGACCCTGTGTGATGTGCTTGCATCATGTGCGTGCATCATGTGCGTGCATCATGTGCGTGCATCATGTGCTTGCATCATGTGCGTGCATCATGTGCTTGCATCATGTGCTTGCATCATGTGCTTGCATCATGTGCGTGCATCATGTGCTTGCATCATGTGCGTGCATCATGTGCTTGCATCATGTGCTTGCATCATGTGCTTGCATCATGTGCGTGCATCATGTGCTTGCATCATGTGCTTGCATCATGTGCGTGCATCATGTGCTTGCCTGCGCTAACCATTTCCCGTTGGTGAGTTACCACTGCTTGTTGCTGACCCACCTCATCTCATTGCTGACTCCCCAATTCCTACAGCTAACTAAGCATTTCCCATTGCCGACTCACCATTCCCCATTGCTGACTCACCTTTCCCCATGCTGACTCACCATTTCCCGTTGTTAACCTTCATGCCATCCACCATCCCGATACAAGCCCCTCCGCGTATAGTCACACCCGAGCTGGCGTAGTCCAGGTAGTAGCAGTGGTCACCCCCGATTACGTAGTTGCACTCCGCCAAATTACCCGGGTTATTCCAGTGCGTTACATAGTATATCCCCGTCGCATCACCCCCACCGGTCAGGTTCCGGCCCTTGGCCACAACAAGGTTGTTTGAGATTGAAGTTAGCATGCAGTCGCCCTGTGAGGGGATGGAGTGCGGTTTGGTGAGATTGAGATGGTGAGTGTGGTTCCGGCCCTTAGGCACAATGAGGTTGTATGAGATGGATGTGAGCATGCAGTCACACTGGGAGGATGTGAGTGAGGGGATGGGATGGGATGGCAGGGAGTGTATTGAATGGGGGAAAGAGGGGGGGGGGAGGGGGGAGGGGGTGGGGTGTTTTGGGGAGGGGGAGGAGATTGAGGTGCTTAGTGTAGCTTTGGCCCTTAGCCTTAGCCACAATGAGGGAGGATGAGAGGGGGTGGGAGGGGATGGAGTGGAGTTTGGAGAGATTGAGATGGTGAGTATGGTGTCAACCCTTAGCCACAACGAGGTTGTTGGAGATGGAAGTTAGCATGCAGTCACCCTGTGGACAGGGAGGGATGGGATGGGAGAGTGTGGGAGGGGCAAGAGGGGGATGGTTGAATGATGAAATTGCCCATGGCCACAAAAACTTTGCTTGGAAAAAGGGGCAGGGAGGTGTGTGTGTGTGTTTTTATGTGTGTGTGTGTGTGTGTGTGTTTGTGTGTGTGTGTGTGTGTGTGTGTGTTTGTGAGTGAGCGCACACGTGAAGCATCCTTCTGAATCTTTACCACAAATATAGTTCACATCTTCCTTGCACCTTCCCAGAACCTTCTGTGCACCTTCCTTGAAAAATCTTCCTCGCACCTTCCTAACACCTCTGCCCACCTGCGAGTGCATCATGTTCCCACACGATGGCAGCCCACACGTAGTCATGCACGTGGTTGTTCGCACCTTCCCAAGCCTTCATTGCAACTTCCTCGCGTCTTCCTTGCACCTTCTAAGCAACTTCTCTCACCTGCGAGTGCACCATGTTACCACACACGATGGCGGCCCACACATAGTCGTGCACGTGGTTGTTCTTGAACACTGCTCCCACCACTCCAAGCTGGAACATCACTGGCAGATAGGCACCTGAGAAAAGGTTAGGCCAGGTGGACAGGGGTGGCGAGGAGTGGTAGAGTGCATACTGTGATAGCAGCCCACACATAGTCGTGCACGTGGTTGTTCTTAAACACTGCTCCCACTACTCCAAGCTGGAACATCACTGGCAGGTAGGCGCCTGGGAGAGAGGAGTGGAGAGGGGTAGAGAGCAGTGAAGGGGGGGTGGAAAGGGGTGTGACAAAGTGCACAGAGTGAGATGGTGGCCCACACGTAGCCGTGCACGTGGTTGTTCTTGAACACTGCTCCCACCACTCCAAGCTGGAACAGCACAGGTAGGTAGGCGCCTGTGGGGAGAGGGGTGGAGAGGGATGGAGAGGGGTGTAGACGGATAGACAGGGGTGTGGAGGGAGGCCCACACATAGTCATGCACGTGGTTGTTCTTGAACACTGCTCCCACCACTCCAAGCTGGAACATCACCGGCAGGTACGTGCCTGGGAGATGGTTAGACAGAGGTGGAAATGGATGGAAACGGGTGGAGAGGGGTGGTGTGGGATGGAGGGAGTGATAGTGTGCATGTGGTTGTTCTTGAACACTGCTCCCACCACCCCAAACTGAAACATCACTGGCAGGTAGGCGTCTGAGAGGGAGGGGTGCAGAGTGGTGGAGAGGAGTAGGTAGGGGTGGAGAGGTGTGGAGGCGGGCGGAGAGGAGTCGGGAGGGGTGGAAAGGGGTGGAAAGGAGTGGAGAGAGATGGCAGCCCACACATAGTCATGCACATGGTCGTTTGTGAACATTGCTCCTACTGTGCCGAACTGAACTGGAATATCACTGGCAGGTAGGCAATTGGTGGAAGAGAAACAGAGACGGGAAGGGTGGAGTGAGGTGGAGAGGGGTGCTATGGTGCAGAGAGTAATGGCAGCTCACACCACCAGAGCATACCACACGCACCTTGACTGTACCGCGCCACACCACATCGCACCACACCACACCACACCACACCACGTCACACCACATCACACCACACCACACGTTGTATACTCAAATCCACCCACCATAGATCTCATTGTTGGTAATACAGATGTATGCGCGCACCAGCAGCGGCCCATTCCCCGACAGAAGAGGCCCATGATTGGTAATATACACATGGGAGTAAGCAAGTGGTACCACACCACACCACACCCCACCACACCACACCACACCACACCCCACCACACCACACCACACCACACCACACCCCACCCTGTTACACCAAACCAAGTCGTACCATAGATCTCATTGTTGGTGATGTAGACGTATGCACGCACCAGCAGCAGCCCATACCCCGACAGCATCACCCGAATGACTCCATTGCCCCTTGCAAAGTCGGATACAGCTGTCATCCTCATCGAGTCAATGCGGCTGTGCATCGTGCGCACCATGTCTACCCGGCCAAACGTGTAGCCCTGGGGGGGCGAGGTGGGGGAGCAAGCATGGCACTGTCAGTTGCCCTCTTGTAATCAGATACGCCTGTCCTCCTCATCGGGTCAATGCGGCTGTGCATCGTGCGAATCACGTCAACGCGGCCAAACGTGTAGCCCTGAGGTTGGTTGGTTGGGGAGAGGGGGGGACGAGGGAAGAGGAAAAGAGAGGGGTGGATGGTGTGAGCCTGAACAGGGTGTAAGAGGTGGCCCATACCCCGACAGCATCACTCGAATGACTCCGTTGCCCCTCTTGAAGTCCGACACGCCTGTCATCCTCATAGAGTCGATGCTGCTGTGCATCGCTCGAATCACGTCCACTCGTCCAAATGTATAACCCTGAGGGGGGGAGAGGGGGAACAAGCATGAACCTGTCCGTTGCCCCTCTTGAAGTCAGACACGCCCGTAATCTTCATTGAGTCGATGCGGCTGTGCATCGTTCGAATCACATCCACCCGCCCGAAGGTGTAACCCTAAGGTAAGGCGAGGAGAGAGAGGGAAGGAGATGGGAAGGAGCGGGGTTGAATTGAGGGACGTGGGAAGGGAGGGAGGGGTTGGAGGCAGGAGGAGGCTGGTAACGAAAGGCAAGGGAGGCATGCAAGGCTCCGCTCCATTGGCCATCTTGCAGGCATGCACAGCTCTCATCCTGATGCCATCATTATTGTGCTTGTACTCGATACTAGCAGACTCACCGTGACGATTTGAACGCCGCTAGAGCGGTAGACGTGGATGAGAAGGCGCTGGGGCCCTATCAGCTTGTGTACTCGTTACACGCAGACTCACCTTGACGATCTGAACGCTGCAGGAGCGGTAAACATGGATGAGAGGGCAGGCAAGTACTTTCTTAAACCCCAAACCCTGAAGCTCTGTCAGTTTTTTTACTCGGTACAAGCAGGCTCACTTTAACGATCTGAACGCCGTAGGAGCGGTAGACGTGAATGAGAGGGCAGATAATGTTTGTGCCCACGTCAGGGATCTCCTCGGGGCATGCCTGTGAGTAGGCTCGGAACGGCTGTGACATCTGAGAGAGGGGGAGGAGAGAGGGCAATATTGAGGGGAGGGGAGAGGAGAGGGGAGAGGAGGATGAGAGGGCAGATGACGTCAGTGCCCACGTCAGGGATCTCTCCGGGGATCTCCCCCTCACGATACCCCCTCCCTTTTTCACCTCGATACCAGTACCAGCGCCCACAGCACCGCACACCACCGCTCTCACCTGCACGCGGTACACAATCACATTGCTGGTGTTCCATAAACGCAGTATCGGCTCATCCACCCGATGCACGTACAGCCGATACCCCCTCCCTTTGTTACCAGGTTCCAGAGCACACAGCACTGCACACCACTGCACACTGCACCGCCACACCACACAGCACCACACAGCACCGCACAACACCGCACACCGCACCACCACACCACACAGCACCACACAGCACCGCACAACACCGCTCTCACCTGCACACGGTACACTATAACATTGCTGGTGTTCCATATACGCAGTATCGGCTCATCCACCCGATGCACGTACAGCCGATACCCCCTCCCTTTGGCCCCGCCTCCCGATCGCAGCACGGTGCACGCGTACTTGGGGCCAAACAGCAGCCCTCGCTTCAGATTAACGTTGTTCTGAAGCTCTAATATTACTGTCGTGGACGGGGGGTAGCGCCTGCGCTTGATGAAATCTGGCTCGCTGGTCACGGGGATCACCACCGCTGAGGCCAGGGGGGAGCACGCTGATCCTGCAGCGTGAGAGGAACGAGGGGGGTTGGGGGAACGGGGGATATGAGTTTACTGCAAGATAATCGCCCGATCGCAGCACGGTGCACGCATACTTGGGGCCAAACAGCAGCCCTCTCTTGAGAGTGACGTGGTTCTGAAGCTCTAATATGACTGTCGTGGAGGGCGGGTATTGCCTGCGCTCGATCAAATCTGCTTCGCTGGTCACGGGGATCACCACGGCTGTGGCCAGGGGGGAGCATGCCGATCCTGCTGCGTGAGAAGAAGGAGGGGGGTTGGTGGAGGGAGGGTAGAGCCTGCGCTTGATGAAATCTGCTTCGGTGGTCACAGGGATTAGCACGGCTGAGGCGAGGGGGGAGCACGCGGATCCTGCTGCAAGGGGGGAGAGGGGAGGAGGAGGCAGGCAGGAGGAAGAGTGAGGCAGACGGAATGTGCAGCGAACACAGGTTCGAAGCTGCGTGATTATTCTGAAGCTCCAGGTCACTGGGACTAGCAGCACGGCTGAGGCCAGGGGGGAGCACGCTGATTCTGCTGCACAAGGGGAGGGAGCAGAGGGGAGGGAGGAAGGGAGAGGAGGGGACGACAGGGGTGGCATGTCAAGAGAAAGGGGAAGAGGAGGCAGGCAGCAGGGCGAGTGAGGCAGAGGGGATGTGGTGAATAGTAGAGCATGTGCCACGTCAGCATTGAGTAGCCGCTGTGAACAAGCCTCACGGCCCTCACCTTGCTTTATGCTATCATTAGCAGCGGACACCAAAGCAAAGCCAGCAGCAGCCGAGTGAGGTTCGGGAGCAAGCAACGCTGCAGGTACGGCACGAGCATCCTGCGCCAGGGACTCCTCCAACCAGGCCATCGTTGCAGGCTCGGACCGAACCTGCTGCCTCAGCCACGGATTCATCCACTCCTGAGGCTCGGCCCATCGCCGCAGAGATTGTGACTGTGACTGTGGTTGTAGTTGTGATTGTGACTGTGCCTGTGCGCGGTGTGACAGTAGCGAAGGTGACTCTGACTGTGTTTGTATTCTCACAAATTGTGGACTGTCCGTATCGGTTCTGTAAACATCCCCGTTTGAGTATGAACTCGCTGATTCGGTAGAAGCAGTTATATTGCGATGCCAAACACTAGTGCTCTGATGCAGGTGGTACAGCAACGAGTGGCCAGATGGTTCGTGAAATGCGCTCCTGTGCCCTGGGATAAGGGGGTGCAGGGAGACAGAGATTGACGCAATGAATAGTGGAGGAATGTTTTTGAGACGCCTCAAAAACACCCTCATTTCACGTGTTTTTGAGACGCCTCAAAAGTACAGCGACGAGTGGCGGGATCGTTCATGGAAGGTGCTTCTTTGCCCTGGGATAAGGGGGTGCAGGGAGACAGATATTGGCGGAATGAATAGTAGAGGAAGCAAGGACGTGAAGGAAGTGTTTCGTGAGCCGACTCATATTGCGCGCTCCTGTGCCCTGGGATAGGAGGGGCAGGGACAGAAGGCGTGAAGGAATGAAGAAAAGGGAACGCCAAGGAAATGAGGGGGGTAAGCGGGGAAGGCGAGACGTTCTAGACGACTCAAAATTGGTTGAGTATATTAGTAGCAAGTGGCGCCAGAACAAGCACGAATCATGTGGTAACCAGATCGAGTATCCAGGCGATGACTGACACCACAATCTGGACGTTCACCTCGAACGAGGATCAGCAAAGAGCGAGAGCGGCAGAGGGAGCGAAATGATCAGGAAACTTAGCCGCACCAGCACAGCACGACATGGCCTCTCACCTGCGGCTCGGACGGGCAGCAGGAGCGGCGGTTCAAGACGGACGGAGGAGGCGGACAGCATGATGCTGAGGATGAGCGCTTTATAACGAGAACTATCTATATGTCTGCATAATGCTTGACGAGGCCGATCCCACTCCTCGCAGTGACAGTCCCCACCGTCTCTGCCTCGTCTTTTTGAGAAAAGGCTGCATTACTATATCTCTATTTTTTAGTCGAACCAAATCATATCTCACGAACCGGACCTCGCGAATCCTTGCGTTTCATTGAGAGCTCCTTAACGATTAGGCTCAGACACAACGACGGCCTACAGAGAACCTCGCTGAATGTACGTCCAATACAATTGTAGCATGATGTGGGTATCACGGTTGTCCTGCACTAGAATAGAGTTAACGGCTACCAGTCGTATGGTGAAAACGGCCTGTAACGCTGACAGAATCAGTCTACTCTCAGTAGTTTATTTGTCGGCCTTCTTTGTCCATGCTAATGAGAAGGTTGAGTGCGGTGATCACCACACAGTCGAGTTCGCCCTACCGTTGGGAAAGGCTGGCATATGAGTGGTATTGGAGGGCTCACGCTGGGTTTAGGATGCAAGAACGAGCAACAGAAGAGAACAATGTTCATGGTAGCTACGAAGAATCGCGGAGCGGGGAAATTGAACGGAATGTTGGGTGGGTGGGAAAGGAGTATGGTTTCAGATAGGGAGGATGTACCTTTAAGGGCGCATTCTGAATTTCCCCAACCAGCTGAAGTTCCCCCACGTGACTAGAAATGTTGACGTGGCATTAAATCACATGGAATGTTCCCTCACGCGGTTCGACTTTTACCCACCTTGAGTCCAACCGGCCACGGTCGCAAGGCCTGGCCTGACCGTCAGTGTGCGACGATGGAGATCGTGCCACGTTTGCTGCGTGTGGGGACTACAGTGTAGACATGCCAGTTTCGTGCACTTAGCCGGCAACATATATTTCCATCCTGCCCATGCAACCGATTTCTGCCCTGCTTGCGTGAATCTGCCAATATCACCCAAGTTGACTTGATCTGACTATTGTGCCAAAATTTTACGTCAGGCGCAACCGTCAGGCTCAGCCGTTTAGGTTTTACCAGACGAGGTTAGTACAACAATTGGTCTGCGAGCTGGCGCGTCAATTTCATTGGATACCGTACATGCGATGCTGGCGATATCTGTCGCCCGCCAAAATGAGGTTCGGTGGTCAGATTGGGAGCATTCCCACCAAAACCCCCATCAGCTTTGAAAAAGCGGGCTGGTGGGGGAACTTCGATGGTGGGGGAATTTGAGACCGCGCTGTAACTAGGGTTGGACCATGCACAGCAATCGGTCATAGGGCGTCTCTCCCCCGCTCCACTCCACGCGAAGCACCAGTGGCCCCCCGCTTTATGGCGGCTGACGGTCAGACGGACAGAACTTTGGGATTCGCTCGGGTAACCCTGAAGTTAGCGAGACCGTGCGGGTTTCGTACGTGAGGGCAGACAAGGCTGTCGATTGCAGTACGCGACGCGAGATAGAGTTATCTTTCGTCCTGGTTTTGCTTGCACGTACGATGCAAAGCGAAACGCTTTTCGCGTGGTTATATTTTCGTGAACCGTCTGCCCGCAATCGGCGACTCCACAACTTTCGCCGCAACGAAGCGCGACGTGGTGGAGACATGCTTTTCCAAACCAAGTTGCCCAGCAGGGCTGTCGCTACCAGGGCGTTTGCCCTGCTGGACCTTGAATTACAGGGCTGGGTTGCCCTTGAAAACTGAAATTGATGGGTTGAAAATAATCTGGCCCTGATTCCTTACAGGGCTGATTTCGGTCTTAGGCCTGGTGTGTAAGGGTAGAATTTAGGCGAGCTCTGGAACAAAATATTTCGACTCCTCCCTCCCAACTCCTCCACTCCCCCTCCCCCCCCTTTCTAACCTGGTTGCATCCAACCTGGCAAATTTGGAGTTGCGTGGTTGGGCCAAAATTTACTCAACCTTGCTGTAGTACTTGCCGAGTGTAGCAGTAAGCTTCGCAGTTGAGATGAGGCTGCAGATTTTTCCGCGCCAAAACTGATCCAAGGGAGGAAATTTTTCCAGCCCTGAAGATTCGCCCCGACCCTGCTAAATACAGGGTCGTACATGCTGGGCCCCCTGATTTGTCCGGGGGGCCCAAAACGAATCGACAGCCCTGTTGCCCAGCCTAGTTGCAGCGTTCCTCCCCCACAAGAACGGTACAGTAAACGCTGGGCACAGCACGGCACGGGCTGGATAAACGAAAACGCGTGGCCTGCTCAAATCAAATCGTTCGGGCAAACCGCCAAGCGTCCCCAAAGGAATCCCACCGAATTCTGCCCAAGCCGGAAGGAACCACGTCAAACCACCAATGAATGGAGTGGGCGGTGGAGAAACTGTTCAGCGCGGTGCGCTGGTTGACCCCCAAATCATCCCCCAAAGTGGTGCAGGGCTTCGGTTTTGTGATAATTAACCATACTTGAGCAATTCTACTACAGCAATTGTGGAGATCAACTACTATAACCGAGATAGCTGTTACACCACTCTTTCTTTGATAGCTGGAACAATCTTCATTCCAAATGAAACAGAGCAAGGGCCACATGGTAATCTGGGGCTCATGGAAGCCGTGGAAACTTGGAAAAATCCGGCGCACGCCCGCTCAAATACGACTCACGGCCTTCAACTGCTTCTGGAGTGTTGTAGAAAATGAGCGTTGCATTTCCAGCCAGCTCCTGCTCAAAAGAAGCGGGTAGCGAAGAAAGCAAGCAGGTTTTCATAACACAGAAGAATCATGTGGCACATGGCACATCACTCCATGGCATGTGCATGATAGACCAAGTGCATGCTATACGCATGCACATGCTTACACGCACCTCTACCCGCCTGCACGCCAGCGCAGAACACATCACCCACAACCCACCTGCAAGCCAGCAGTGCCGTCGTCCACCGCATTAATCGCCGACTTGAGCACCCTCAGAGCCGTGGGGCTATTCCTTAGGATCTCACGGCACCACTTCACTGTCTCCTGCTCCAGACTCGCCAGCTGACAATTCACGTGTGGGGGAGGACAGACAATTAAAAGGGACAAGGTGAGCACCCTCAGAGCCGTGGGGCTATTCCTTAGGATCTCACGGCACCACTTCACTGTCTCCTGCTCCAGACTCGCCAGCTGACAATTCACGTGTGGGGGAGGACAGACAATTAAAAGGGACAAGGTGAGCACCCTCAGAGCCGTGGGGCTGTTCCTTATGATCTCGCGGCACCACTTGACCATCTCCTGCTCCAGACTCGCCAGCTGATGTGAGAGAGAGGCAGACAGAAATGGAGAGGCAGGGAATGGATACATAGTGAGCATGCGTCGTCACCTGGGTGTCTGTTCCTCAGGATCTCCCAACACCACTCCACCATCTCTGCTTCCATATTCGCCAGCTGGCAACCCGGATTGAACATGCAGGAGAGGAAGACAGAAGTACAAGGACAGGGAAAGGAACAGAAGTGCCTACGTTACGAGCATGCACAGAACTCACTAGTGACCTTGTGAAACGCGCACGGTATCAACAGCACTCACCGGCACAACGGTGTTGATGAGTCCCATGTCAAGAGCCTGGGCGGCCGTGTAGTGCCTGGCGAGGAACCAGATCTCCCTCGCCTTCTTGACTTCTGCTGCCTAGCAAGACACACCCGTACACACACAAACAATAACACCAACGGTACACTCACTGGACCAACAGCACTCACCGGCACAACGGTGTTGATGAGTCCCATGTCAAGAGCCTGTGCGGCCGTGTAGTGCCTGGCGAGGAACCAGATCTCCCTCGCCTTCTTGGGGCCCACGAGGCGAGACATGATGGAACAGCCATACCCTGCGTCGAAGCTGCCCACCTGGATAGGCGAGGGGCAAATAGTGCAGAGAAACGATCAACAAACAACAATCGACAATCAGCAAAGAAGCACACAGCAAGCCACGAGGCGAGACATGATGGAGTAGCCGTGCCGTACCCTGCATCGAAGCTGCCCACCTGGGAGGGGCGAAGGGTAAAAAATGCAGAGAAACGATCAGCAAACAAGCACACAGGAAGCCACCAGGCGAGACATGATGGAACAGCCGTACCCTGCATCGAAGCTGCCCACCTGGGAGGGGCGAAGGGTAAATAGTGTGAATCGTGATAGAGCATTGGTCAGGGGGGAGAGCCATCTTGGGGCCCACCAGGCGAGACATTATAGAGTTGCCGTACCCAAGACGAGCTCCCTGTCAAAGCTGCCCATCTGGACGGGGAGAAGGGCAGATAGAGTAGGGCGACGGGCAACAGCAACAGGGGGGCATAGCCGCATAGGTGGGGGTCAGTCAGACAATGATGCAGATAGTGCAAGCCACGATGCGAGACAATTTTTGAGTCGACTCAAAAGTGAGTCGATTTTTGAGTCGACTCAAAAGTGAGTCGATTTTTGAGTCGACTAAAAAATCGACTCACTACACGCGCATAGGTGGGGGTCAGACGATGATGCAGATAGTGCAAGCCACGATGCGAGACAGGACAGAGCAGCCGTTCCCTGCATCGAAGCTGCGAGGGTAACTTGGGCATGCCTTGGGAGGCGCGCAAACAGACAATTTTAACAAGCCCCTCCCTCCGTTTCAACCCTATCCTCACTTTCAACCCCTCCCTCACTTTCAGCCTCTTCCTCACTTTCAGCCTCTTCCTCACTTTCAGCCTCTTCCTCACTTTCAGCCCCTGCCTCACCTTCACCCCCTCCTCACGGCGTTGTCAGCAGCAACGGTGATGTCACACACCAGATGCAGCACATGCCCTCCTCCTATGGCGTACTCTCTGCCCCTGCTGTACCTTCAGCCCTGTCCTCCCCCGCCTTCAGCCCCAGTCCCACCGTGGACCCTGGCCCACCCTCTGCCCCCGCCTGACGTTGGGGTACCCCCGCCCTCACCTTGGGCCCTGTCTGGCCGAACACAGCGTTGTCAGCAGCAATGGTGATGTCACACACCAGATGCAGCACGTGGCCTCCCCCTATGGCGTACCCTGCGGCCCCTGCCCCGCCTTCAGCTCCTGACCTGCCCCACTTCTAGCCTCTTAGCCCTACCCCACCCTCACCCCCCCTGTCACCTTGGGCCCCGTCTGGCCGAACACAGCGTTGTCAGCAGCGATGGTGATGTCACACACCAGATGCAGTACGTGGCCTCATGCCCTCCGCCTATGGCTGCCCTTCTTCACCTCACCTTCAGCCCCCGTCCCATTCAAAGCACCTTGGCTCACCTTGGGCCCTGTCTGGCCGAACACAGCGTTGTCAGCAGCAATGGTGATGTCACACACCAGATGCAGCACGTGGCCTCCCCCTATGGCGTACCCTGCCACCTGCAGGGGGAGCGAGGGAGAGCAGTAAGAGAAGATGCAGCACACAGAGCATGAAGTACATTCTGTAAGAATCACAGGCGATGGTGGTGTCACACACACATCAGGTGCAGCACGTGCAGCACGTGCATAGGACAGACTTCAGCAATCAGAAAACAGTTGGCTTACCATGGCAATGACTGGCTTGGGAGTTCGCCGGATTTGAACCTGCAGTGACACGAGTGGTAGAGGCAGGAAGTGGGGGAGGAGGGGGAAAGGAGGGGGGAAGGAGGTGGGAAGGAAGGGGAAGGAGGTGGGAAGGAGGGGGGAAGGAGGTGGGAAGGAAGGAGAAGGAGGTGGGAAGGAGGGGGGAAGGAGGGGGGAAGGAGGGGGGAAGGAGGGGGGAAGGAGGGGGGAAGGAGGGGGGAAGGAAGGGAGAAGGCAATGACTCCAAGATAGGGCGGAGTGAGAGGTGAGGCACCTGGTCGCCCCGCACATACACATGAACTCAATACCTCTGTCCTAACCCCTCCTCTTGAGTCGACACAAAAGTCGATTCTTCCCCTCCCCACCCTCTCCCCTGAAAAGCACTCACACCCGCAGGTCCAGCACGTTGAGTCGGAGCACCTGGTCGCCCCGCACATACACATGAACTCAATACCTTTGTCCTAACCCCTCCTCTTGAGTCGACACAAAAGTCGATTCTTCCCCTCCCCACCCTCTCCCCTGAAAAGCACACACACCTGCAGGTCCAGCACGTTGAGTCGGGGCACCTGGTCGCCCCGCACATACACATGAACTCAATACCTCTGTCCTAGTAACCCCTTCTCCCCTCCCATGTTTCACCTCTCCGCCTGTTCCCCTCCCCTGAATAGCACACCTGCAGGTCCAGCACGTTGAGTCGAGGCACCTGGTCGCCCCGCACGTATCCGTGCTTGCCCCTCACGGCCTGATAGGCCGCACATGCGCATACATATGCACACAATGATAATCCACACGCACACAACACACACCTGCAGGTCGAGCACGTTCAGTCGAGGCACCTGATCGCCCCCCACGTATCCGTGCTTGCCCCTCACGGCCTGGTCGCCCCCGCTGCAGAACGACAGATCGCCCTGAGAGAGACAGTGGGGGGCGAGTAAGAGAGAGAAGATAGTCCATGAGTTGCTTGAGTTCACATCTCACCTCACCGTGCCTGTACTGGAACCTCACCTTGCCTGAGTTCACATCTCACCTTTTGAGTCGACTCAAAAGCAGACTCATTACACGCGGTTTTGAGGCGACTCAAAAGGGGGAGAGTAAGAGAGAGAAGATAGTCCATGAGTTGCCTGAGTTCACACCTCGCCGTGCCTCTGCTGGAACCTCACCTTGCCTAGGTTCACATCTCACCTTCGCCTGGTGTTAGAGTCCCACCTTGCCTGTGAAGATGATAACTCCAACGGTCACATCGTCCCTCGCAGCATCGAACGCGCGCTTCAGCTCCTTGACCGTTTCCGGCCGGAACGCGTTCCTCCTCTCGGGTCGGTTGATCGTGATCTGACGGTCAAGATTGCAGGAGGGGGGTCGGGCCGCATTTCAGGCAATTCCTTTAATCGACAATTGGCGATTCCTTTTCAAAGTATTATCCACTGTGGCACTGCCTTCACGAATGCACGTCCCTTGCTATACAATTTTCCTAAGAGTGCAGCACATCGGTTATACCTTGGCGATCCCCTCTCCAACAGCCGTTTCGTAAAGCACGTCTTGGAGCGGAGGCCCGTCAATGCGACCCGGCCGCCACACGACGGGCGCGCTCGACACCTCGCCGTGCATTAACGCGTACTTAGACGGCTTTCCTGTAGCCGATGCATAGACGCCGGTCGCGCCGTTGTTCGCGCTGCGACCACTGCTGCTGCTGCAGGGTTGCAGGTTCAGCTGGGACTCGTTATAAGCAGCCTCGTTATTGGTGGTTTCCGGAGGGGTGGAATAGGCGGGTGCGATATGGCGACCGTAAACCTGAAGTCGCCGCAGCGCTTGATCGTGATCCATTGCTCCGTCAAGGCTGAACCTAGCAGCCGCAAAGGAAATGACGTGCAATGGATCAAACGGAGCAGAGGCAGATGATTTATGCACGAACGCGAATGGCGTAGGAGTTTCAGGCAAATACGGAATAATATGCTGCTTTCGCAAGGTGCAAGGAAATCCGTGAGGACGAATTTCCGGATAAGGTCCGTTGCCTGCTGGATAAGAGACATGAGGTCTGGAGATTCCCGAGGGGAACCAGATAGTTTCTTCGCGGTTCTTGCTTGTTCTGACGGGTTTTAGTTAGGTTGGTTAGCGGAGGCGCACTGTGTCCTCTTCCTAAATTCTGGGCCAGAAGGGTCTGGCGAGCCTGGGACCACACTCTCCTGTAACCTCTAACGGCAGACGCGCTTCAACTTAGAGTAAGGAAATTAGATTACAAAACAGAAATAGAAACACCACATTGTGATCCAGTCCGGCGCATTATTCTTCAAAACATAATGATTAAAACCGTACTAGCGGGAAATGGGAAGTATTTTCCGAAGAATACTTTACTCTTTAAACTGAAAACAGTTTTTGTTTCTTTTATGGATTTGAAATCGTTATATGTAGTTTTGCAATAATCTGGCTTCGCTGCTCCAGCCCCAGGGGGCGGTGTCGAGGATCAGGTTCGATCGCCTTCGAAATCATCCTAAAAACGAGGTTGGAGACGTTTCAGTAGGGTTCAGAGCGTTGTAGTGCGGCTCCAGTGCTTAGGCGAGTTGACATGGAGCTTTGAATCTCAAGATTGCCACCACGCAATTCCATTCAAATCAAACGGCTACTTGTGGTTCAGCCTAAGCGGTGTTTCAGTGCTGGCAGATAAGCTGCTTTCTGCCAGGGACACTGACGTTGTCGCACGACGCAGCGCATTCTTATCTCGCGGAAGACCTCCCCCTTAGGACTGCTCTCATGCGGTTAGCCCCTCAGGGAAGGCTCGATATCGTGTCTCTCGCCTGTTGTCTTGAAAGTCGGGGTACCACGATCGTACTTCTTATCCACAATATCTGAGTTTCATGCACTGAAGCAAGATCGTCTCAACGTTTTTTGGCGACTCGATCTGCTTAACAGCGTATTCTGGTTGAGCGATAGCGTTGAGCTCAGGATTTGAGCACCGTCGAAATCCGTTGAGCAGCCATGGCGGATTTGAACCAGGAGTCGCTGCTGGCGCACAAGCGCACGTTCATGGAGTTCCTCGACCCCGAGGTGCGAAACTGTTACCGTCGGTGTTACGTCGATACAGTGAGGCGTCTTATAACGAATAAAATGTCATGGACTTTCTCGCCCCAGAGGTGCAAATCAGTTCCCTTTTTAAATAAAAAAATATTAGTAATAGTTTCCGTCTGTACAACGATGTTTTTAGGCGCCGTGCAACGAGTAGCAGCTCATGGTTTCTCTCTCTTTCTTTTTTGAGTCGACAATATACGCCTTTCTGGGGCGTCATGTACCAAGTAGCAGCGCGTGGGGTTTCTCGATCCCGAGGTACGTCGAGGTTGCGGTGTGTGTGCTAATTCCTCATAAAATGTCCCATTATGCGTCATGGGTAGTCTTTTTGAGTTTTTTCCGATCTTTATGATCATTCCCCCCCACCCTCCCTGCAACTCCCTCTTATCCCCGCCCTCCTCCCTTCAGAACCCCAAGTCGCGCTACATGCAGCGAATCAGCGCCATGGTGGACGCGGACAAGCACCGCCTCCTCATTGACCTCTCGGACCTCCGATCCTTTGACCCGCACCTCGCCCGCAGGTACGGTTGCCTGTCGGACCTGGCGTACAGGCTCGGGTGAGAGTGGTTGCAATGTGCAGAGTTGTTTGACAATGTGTTTGAGAAAGGATGGAATGTTTCAGAGCTGCAGTGGTTAATGTTTCCCCCATCGATGTGCTATGCTTATGTTCACCCCACATGAGCTGTCACAGACTGTCTGTGAATTGTCAGGTCAGGACATCTTTTAGGATCACGGTCTCAAGAATTGAATGATGATCTGAAAAGTATCGCTGTTTCCATCCATCTTCCCGTTTCCTGACCTTCTGTTCCCTGTCCTCCTTCCCTTTCCCTTCCTCTTCTCAGGCTCATCCGCACGCCAGGCGAGCTGTACCCAGCGCTGGTGAGCGCAGTGGAGGATGCAGTGAAGCTGGCGCACCCCAAGCATCCGCCTGAGTCCCCTTCCTTCCCCTTTCCCGCCATTCCCCCCCATGCCTTCCCACTTCCCCCCTTAGACTCATCCGCACGCCAGGCGAGCTGTACCCAGCGCTAGTGAGCGCAGTGGAGGATGCAGTGAAGCTGGCGCACCCCAAGCACCTGCTCGAGTCCGCAGCCACAGGCGTGGGGGGAGGCGAAGTGAGCGTGGGGTTTGAGGGGCCGTTTGGGTTCCACCAGCTATCCCCTCGCGAGCTGCTCTCGCCCTTCCTCAACTCGCTTGTCTGCGTGCATGGCATCGTCACCAAGTGTGAGTGCGGTTACCAGTGCGTGAGTGGGGTTGCTAGTGTATGGGTGTGCGGTTACCAGTGTGTGACAGTAGCAGAAGTCACAGTGCGCATGACACACCCCAAGCACAGGCACAGGCGTGGGGGGGGACGAATTGAGCGTGGGGTTTGAGGGGCCGTTTGGATTCCACCAGCTGTCCACCAGCTGTCCAGCAGCTGTCCACCAGCTGTCCACCCTGTCTCGCCCTTCCTCAACTCGCTCGTCTGCGTGCATGGCATTGTCACCAAGTGTGAGTGCTGTGCTGCCACTCTCCCTGCTGCCGTGCCCCTGCTGCCCTGTCGCTGCTGCCCTGTCGCTGGTGTAGGTTGTTTTTTAGAAATCTCCAAAACAACCTACAACGCCCCAAGGTGATGCGCAGTGTGCACTACTGCTCTGCCATGGGGGCATTCCACTCCCTCCCTGCCACTGCTGCCCTGCCACTATGGTTGCATCTCATATTCCCCTCCCTCCATCCACCCCTCCCTCACTCCCCCTCCTTCCTGCCCCGCAGGCTCCTCCGTGCGACCCAGGGTGGTGAGCAGTGTGCACTACTGCCCGAACACGGGGCCTTTCCGTCCCTCCTGCCACTGCCGCCCGGCCACTAGTATACCCTTCTCGCACTCCCTCCCCTTCCTCTCCAGGCTCCTCCGTGCGTCCCAAGGTGGTGCGCAGTGTGCACTACTGCCCGAACACGGGGGCCTTTTCCTTCCTCCTGCCACTGCCGCCCCGCCACTAATATACCCTTCTCGCACTCCCTCCCCTTCCTCTCCAGGCTCCTCCGTGCGCCCCAAGGTGGTGCGCAGTGTGCATTACTGCCCTGCCATAGGGGCCTTTCCCTCCCTCCTGCTACTGCCGCCCCGCCACTAATATACCCTTCTCGCACTCCCTCCCCTTCCTCTCCAGGCTCCTCCGTGCGCCCCAAGGTGGTGCGCAGTGTGCACTACTGCCCAAACACGGGGGCCTTTTCCTCTCGGGAATATCGAGATGTCACTGCGCTCACTGGCCTGCCTACACCTGCCATCTACCCCACCAAGGTGCGTGACGCTGCGTCTATGACAGTTAATTGTAGTGAGGTGAGGTGACTTTGTCACGAAGGCCTTTTCTTCTCGGGAATGTCGAGATGTCACTGCGCTCACTGGCCTGCCTACACCTGCCATCTACCCCACCAAGGTGGGTTGTGATTCGTGTGTGGAGATAAGGCAGGTGAGATGACTTTAGAATGAGGTGAGGTGACCCATGTCATTACCCTCACTGGCCTGCCCACACCCGCCCGCCATCTTCCTCACCAAGGTGAGCTGAAGCTGTGCTGTATCGACTACCATGCATGTCAGGGCGACAAGAGCAACGCTCTATTGATGGATTTTAGGCTGAGAACGCCCTTCCTGCCCTTGCACCCCTTGCTCGTTTTCCTCTGAACTCCCCACTCACACCAGGACGACAAGGGCAACATCCTTGTTACAGAGTTTGGCCTGTTCCGATACCGCGACCACCAGGCGATGGCGATGCAGGAGATGCCTGAGAACGCCCCAGCAGGGCAGCTGCCGCGGTCGCTGGACGTGCTGCTAGAGGACGACCAAGGCAACACCATCCTTCAGTGTGGAGTGCAGGGAACGCCTGAGCACTCATTGCTTGCTCCCCTTTACAACTTGCTGCTTCCTTTCAGGACGATAAGGGCAACATTCTAGTCACAGAATTCGGTCTGTGCCGATACCGCGACCACCAGGCGATGGCGATGCAGGAGATGCCTGAGAACGCTCCAGCAGGGCAGCTGCCGCGGTCACTGGACGTGCTTCTAGAGGACGACCTGGTGGATGCATGCAAGCCGGGGGACCGCGTGGGCATAGTGGGCATCTACAAGGCTGCTCCCATGCGCGCCTCTGGCACCATCAGCGGCACCTTCCGGTGGGTTTCATTTTGGGGTTACTGGGGCTGAAGCTGGGGTTGCTGGGGGTAGGGTGGGGCATGGGTTTCCCTTCCTTGGAGAGAGTCCCAGCAGGGCAGGGCAGGGCAGGGCAGGGCAGGGCAGGGCAGGGCAGGGCAGGGCAGGGCAGGGCAGGGCAGGGCAGGGCAGGGCAGGGCAGGGCAGGGCAGGGCAGGGCAGGGCAGGGCAGTGAAGGGCAGAGCAGGGCAGGGCAGGGCAGGGCAGGGCAGGGCAGGGCAGGGCAGGGCAGGGCAGGGCAGGGCAGGGCAGGGCAGGGCAGGGCAGGGCAGGGCAGGGCAGGGCAGGGCAGGGCAGGGCAGGGCAGGGCAGGGCAGGGCAGGGCAGGGCAGGGCAGGGCAGGGCAGGGTAGTGAAGGGCAGAGGAGGGCAGGGCAGGGCAGGGCAGGGCAGTGAAGGGCAGAGCAGGGCAGGGCAGGGCAGGGCAGGGCAGGTGCGGCGGTGGCTGGACGTGGTGGGGGAGGACGACCTGGTGGATGCATGCAAGCCGGGGGACCGCGTGGCAATTGTGGGCATCTACAAGGCTGCTCCCATGCGCGCCTTCAGGTGGGTCTGAGAGGGGTAAGGGGTTGCTCAGCCCTGAGTGCCCCAACAGGGCAGCTGCTGCTACGGCCTCGTGCATGAGGGTGCTGGGGCAAAGGAACCCTCATTGTGTGTCTCATTCTTTCCCATCCCCACCATGCTTCCAGAACGGTGCTGGTGGCGTGTAATGGGATGCAGCTGAGCAAGGATGCAGTGGCTGGCTCCCCGCATGACAGCAGCAGACGTGAGGGCAGTGAGGGCGCTGGCAGCACGGTCAGACGCGTGGCGGGTGGTTAGATCAACTCATTGCCTGCCTCTCTCCCTGCCTCCCCGTCCCCACCACCACCCTTCCAGAACCGTTCTCGTGGCATGCAACGTGATGCAGTTGAGCAAAGACGCAGTTGCTCCCCGAATGACAGCAGCAGATGTGAGGGCAGTGAGGTAGTCTTAACATGGCACCACGCACCTCACCTCTCCCTCCCTCCGCCCTTTCAGAACGGTGCTAGTAGCATGCAATGTGATGCAGCTGAGCAAGGACGCAGTGGCGCCAAGAATGACAGCAGCAGACGTGAGGGCAGTGAGGGCGCTGGCAGCACGGGCAGACGCGTGGGGGTGGTGGGGCAGTCGCTATTAATTCCACTCATTCATTGCCCCACTTCCTGCCTTTCCCTCCCATCCAGAACGGTGCTGGTGGCATGTAATGTGATGCAGCTGAGCAAGGACGCAGTGGTGCCAAGAATGACAGCAGCAGACGTGAGGGCAGTGAGGGCGCTGGCAGCACGGTCAGACGCGTGGGGGGTGGTGGGGGAGTGGTTCGATCGACTCATAGCCTCTCTCCCTACCCTTGCCCCTTTGTTTCCCCCCCGCCCCCACTTCAGAACCGTACTGGTGGCATGCAATGTGATGCAGTTGAGCAAAGACGCAGTGGCGCCAAGAATGACGGCAGCAGACGTGAGGGCAGTGAGGGCGCTGGCAGCACGGTCAGACGCGTGGGGAGTGGTGGGGGAGTCGCTAGCGCCGTCCATCTGCGGCCACGCGTGGGTAAAGAAGGCCCTGGCGCTGCTGCTGCTGGGGGGGGTCGAGAAGAACTTGCCTAATGGAACACACATAAGAGGGTGAGTGAATGGCGTTTTTCGTCTTGTCTAGACATTGAGGGCGGTTGAGTTGCTGGTGTGGGTTGTGTTGGTGTGGAGGTGAGGGAGTATGTAGAGGCGAGGGGGTATGGCGTGGGGGGTGGTGGGGGAGTCCCTGGCTCCCTCCATCTGTGGGCACGTGTGGGTCAAGAAGGCCCTGGCGCTGCTGCTGCTGGGGGGGGTTGAGAAGAACCTACCTAACGGGACCCACATAAGAGGGTGAGTGGAGGTGTAAGGACTCAGATGGTGAATGAGGGGGTGAACGAGTGACGGTTTCTGTATCTCCTATATGTTGAGGGTGGCTGATTCAAGTTGAGGTGAGACATGCTCATGATGGTTGATGGTTGAGGTGAGACATGCTCATGATTCAAGCGAGGGTTGACCCTTCTGAGGCCAAGTCGCAGCTGCCAGGTGTTGCATTGCATTGCAACCCTTCCCCCTGCATCTTTTCCCTTCCCCTCCTGCAGCGACGTGAACATGCTAATGATGGGGGATCCCTCAGTGGCCAAGTCGCACCTGCCCAGTGCTGCGTCCCCCCGCCCCCATGCACCAAGCACAACCCCTCCCAACCCCCCAACCACTTACAGTGATGTGAACATGCTAATGATGGGGGATCCCTCAGTGGCCAAGTCGCAGTTGCTTCGAGCCATCATGCACGCTGCTCCCCTTGCCATCTCCACCAACGGGAGGGGCTCGTCAGGCGTAGGTCTGACTGCTGCTGTCACCACCGACCAGGAGACAGGTGGGCTTCTATTGCATGCCTGTTTCTATCTAGGGTCTTCAAGGGGTAACTCACCATGCACAGACTACCCTCCTCGCCATCTCCACCAATGGGAGGGGCTCTTCAGGCGTGGGGCTGACTGCTGCGGTCACCACAGAACAGACCAAGAGACAGGTGGGGTAAAGTCAATCCACAAATGGTAAAGTCAGTCCTCAAGTGGTAAGGCTCCAAGTCACAGCTAGGTGACTTTTGAGTCGACTCAAAAGTCACCGACCAAGAGACAGGTGGGGTAAAGTCAATCCACAAATCTGTTGTAGGGGTCCTCAAGTGGTAAGGCTCCAAGTCACAGCTAGGTGACTTTTGAGTCGACTCAAAAGTCACCGACCAAGAGACAGGTGGGGTAAAGTCAATCCACAAATCTGTTGTAGGGGTCCTCAAGTGGTAAGGCTCCAAGTCACAGCTAGGTGTAGAGAGTGTGTTTTTGAGACGTCTCAAAAATCTGTTGTAGGGGTCCTCAAGTGGTAAGGCTCCAAGTTGCAGCTAGCTTAGGGCGTGGGTCTCACTGCTGCTGTCGCCACCGACCAGGCGAGATGAGGCTGGAAGCAGGAGCTATGGTGTTGGTCACCACCATTGCATTGCACAATGGGGCTGGCGGACAGGGGGGACTTTTGAGTCGACTCAAAAGGAGCTATGGTGTTGGTCACCACCATTGCATTGCACAATGGGGCTGGCGGACAGGGGGGACTTTTGAGTCGACTCAAAAGGAGCTATGGTGTTGGTCACCACCATTGCATTGCACAATGGGGCTGGCGGACAGGGGGGACTTTTGAGTCGACTCAAAAGGAGCTATGGTGTTGGTCACCACCATTGCATTGCACAATGGGGCTGGCGGACAGGGGGGACTTTTGAGTCGACTCAAAAGGAGCTATGGTGTTGGTCACCACCATTGCATTGCACAATGGGGCTGGCGGACAGGGGGGACTTTTGAGTCGACTCAAAAGGAGCTATGGTGTTGGTCACCACCATACCATTCCACAATGGGACTGGCGGACAGGGGGGTGGTGTGGTGTGCATCAATGAGTCTCCTTTTGAGGCGCCTCAAAAGTTGCCACCACCATACCATTCCACAATGGTGCTGGCGGACAGGGGGGTGGGGTGCATCAATGAGTCTCACACTGCTCGCTGCTTACTGCCTTTCTCTCTCTTCCCTTCTCCTCAGGTTGTGTCTCTCGTTGTGCTCTCTCCCCTTCTGTGCTCTGCTCACCCCGTTGTGTCTCTCTCCACTCTCTCCCTTCCCTTTACTCCCTCCCATCCAGGTGAAAGGAGGCTGGAAGCAGGAGCAATGGTGCTGGCGGACAGAGGAGTGGTGTGCATTGATGAGTCGAGCTCTGCTGTGTCGCTTTCTGTCCCTTACTAACCACTCTGCTCACTCTTGCTGCCCTCTTCCTTTGATTGCCAGGTGAAAGGAGGCTGGAAGCAGGAGCAATGGTGCTGGCGGACAGAGGAGTGGTGTGCATTGATGAGTCGAGCTCTGCTGTGTCGCTTTCTGTCCCTTACTAACCACTCTGCTCACTCTTGCTGCCCTCTTCCTTTGATTGCCAGGTGAAAGGAGGCTGGAAGCAGGAGCAATGGTGCTGGCGGACAGAGGAGTGGTGTGCATTGATGAGTCGAGCTCTGCTGTGTCGCTTTCTGTCCCTTACTAACCACTCTGCTCACTCTTGCTGCCCTCTTCCTTTGATTGCCAGGTGAAAGGAGGCTGGAAGCAGGAGCAATGGTGCTGGCGGACAGAGGAGTGGTGTGCATTGATGAGTTTGACAAGATGAGCGATGCCGACCGGGTTGCCATCCATGAGGTGAGTGGGGCGGCATTGGTTGGCTTGGGGTGGCATGGTGTGGCGTGGCATTGTACAGAATGTCAACTCACGGGAACTCACTGTTTCTCACTCATAACTCACTCATTAGTCAGTCGCACACTCGCCAGGGCGAGCTTGTGGATCCACACCTTCCTCAACGCGAGCTCTCTCTCCCTCCCCCTTCCACCCATCCGCCCTTCCTCCGATCCGCCCTTCCCCCAATCCGCCCTTCCCTCGACCCACCCTTCCCCCGATCCGTCCTTCCCCCGATCCGCCCTTCCCCTCATCTGCCCATCCATCCCCCACCAGGGGATGGAGCAGCAGACAGTCACGATCGCCAAGGCGGGCATCCATGCCTCCCTCAACGCACTGTCACTCTCTCCCTCGTCCCCTCATCCCTCGTCCCCTCATCCCTCGTCCCCTCATCCCTCGTCCCCTCATCCCCCCATCCGCCCGTTCCCCCATTCCCCCACCCGCTCACCAGGTGATGGAGCAGCAGACAGTCACGATCGCCAAGGCGGGGATCCACGCATCCCTCAACGCTCGCTGCAGCGTGGTTGCCGCAGCAAACCCCATCTACGGATCTGTGAGTGATGCCCCTGTATCTGCCCACCCCCTCTCTGTATGACGTTGCTTTGCGCTCACGTGGTTGACTTATACTCGCACCCCCACCCCCACTTCTCCCCGGGTTTCACAGTATAACCGCTCGGTCAATACTCCACACACCCTTCGTCTTGACCCTCCCCATCCCCATTCCCCTCCCCCTCCTCCTCCTCCTTCTCCTCCTCCTCCTTCCTTTCACTGCTACTACCACTCCATCTCCCCCAATGTGCAACATCGGGCTTCCCAACTCGCTGCTCTCCCCACGGCCCATGCCACTCACTCCCTCCCCATGGCCCATGCCACTCACTCCCTCCCCATGTCTGATGCCCTTCCCCCCCTGCGCAGCCCCACCCACCCGAGCCACCATCTCCCCACCCCACCACAGTACGACCACTCCATCAGCCCCATGCGCAACATCGGCCTGCCCGACTCGCTGCTCTCCCCGCCTGCTGCCACTGCTCTGCCACATCACACTCCCTTCCCTTTCCCCTTCCCCGTGTGCTGTGCTCGCCCCTCCCCCCTCTCCCCCCTCATCAGTACGACCACTCCATCTCCCCCATGCGCAACATCGGCCTGCCCAACTCGCTGCTCTCGTGTTTCGACCTGCTGTTCATCCTCGTCGACCAGATGGACGCTTTTCAGTCCACTCAAGATTGCAATGTCGGTCGGACTCGTCTCTTGATTCAACTCAAAAGTCAACTCGACTCGCTCTTCCCCCTACCAGCTGCCAGGGCTGAGCCACATCACACTCCCTTCCCCTTCCCTTCTCCGCTTGTGCTGTGCTCTCCCCCTCCCCCCAGTACGACCACTCCATCTCCCCCATGCGCAACATCGGCCTGCCCGACTCGCTGCTCACTCCCCATCTGCTGCATGTGCTGTGCCAGAACTCACTCCCTTCCGCCCCTCACACCCCACCAATCCCCCCCTCCCCCCAGTACGACCACTCCATCAGCCCCATGCGCAACATCGGCCTGCCCGACTCGCTGCTGTCGCGTTTCGATCTGCTCTTCATCCTCGTGGATCAGATGGACGCTGACGTGGACACCCGCATAGCCAATCACGTGCTCCGCATGCACCGCTACCGCCTCCCTGGCGATGATGGCAGTAAGCTGCTCGTTGCTCCTTTCTGCCTGCTGCTCTTGCTCCTTACCCATAGCTCGTGGCCGGCCACTGATCTCAGGGAGGATGAAACTTGCAGGTAGAGAGACGACTTTTGAGGCGCCTCAAAAGGCAGGATGAGGCACCTCTATTGCATTTAGCTGCCTCATTTTGCCAGCATAGCTTATCCCGCCTTACCCTTTATCTCCCTCCCATATTCCCGCAGCGTTAGCCCCAGGGGATATACCCATGGCAGCAACACACGCAGATGAGGAGGACGAGGAAGAAGAGGGGGGAGACGCAGACGGCCCAGATGCTTCCGCTGCTGCAATGGACGGCGAAGATGATGCCAATCCGGCCACTAGCCGGCCTAGGACCAGGAGTGGGGGTAGAGGAGGGGGAGGAGGGGATGGGGGTGGGGGAAGGGGAGGGGGCAGCAGTGGTGCGACTGATTTGGCGGCGAACTTAGTTAAGTACGATCGCTTACTGCACGGGGAGAGGAAGGCCGGGGAGCCTATAAGGAAGATACTTAAGAAGCGTTTTCTGAAGAAGTTCTTTCACTTTGCCCGCGGCCGCACCCCAGTGCTCTCCAATCGGGTAAGTGACCTTGTCTCGTGTCTCATAACTGCACTCTGTCTCTCCCCCCCCCTTTTTTTTGTTTTTTTTACCGGCCTAAAAAATTCCCCTTGACTCTTTTCTCGTGGCCCTTCATGAAAGTAGTTTAGTTTTTCGACGTCTCAAAGCAACGCAGGTTTTTCATGTCGCATTGCTGCACGGTTTGATGAATCTGAAACTTTTCGCGGTCACTCATACCTCTTGCCGTGCTTGCTGACAGCAGAGAGGATAGCACAGAACGAGAACAGGCATGTTGGGGTGTCTATTTTTTGGAATCTTAAATTACAGACAGCGTTTGCATCTCACGCACATCAAAGTTTTGAGGCGCCTCAAAACTAGACATCTCACGCACGTCCAAATTACTTTCTCGCCTCTTACCCTCCTCTCCTGGCCCCCATCCTTTGTCCTTTCCCTCTTTTCCTCCCCGTGCCCCCTATGCTGGACTGCAGGCAGCAGAGAAGATAGCACAGGCATCCAGAGATGACTTTGTTGTTACATTCTGACTTTGTTGTTACATTCTGACTTTGTTGTTACATTCTGCAAGTTGCCACGATTCTTTTCCTCCCCGTGCCCACTGTGCTGGACTGCAGGCAGCAGAGAAGATAGCACAGGCTTACGCGGAAATGAGGGCGCAGGGCATGGACGCGAGAAGGAGGGTGAGTAGAGGGCTGGCTTGGACGAGAGCAGGAGGGTGAGGTGGGATTCTGAGACATTTATACAGGTGAGTTCTCAAGAGAAGATAGCACAGGCGTATGCAGGGATGAGGGCGCATGGCGTGGGCGCAAGGAGGCAGGTGAGTAGAGGGCTGGCTTGGACGAGAGCAGGAGGGTGAGGTGGGATTCTGAGACATTTATACAGGTGAGTTCTCAAGAGAAGATAGCACAGGCGTATGCAGGGATGAGGGCGCATGGCGTGGGCGCAAGGAGGCAGGTGAGTAGAGGGCTGGCTTGGACGAGAGCAGGAGGGTGAGGTGGGATTCTGAGACATTTATACAGGTGAGTTCTCAAGGGAAGATAGCACAGGCGTATGCAGGGATGAGGGCGCATGGCGTGGGCGCAAGGAGGCAGGTGAGTAGAGGGCTGGCTTGGACGAGAGCAGGAGGGTGAGGTGGGATTCTGAGACATTTATACAGGTGAGTTCTCAAGAGAAGATAGCACAGGCGTATGCAGGGATGAGGGCGCATGGCGTGGGCGCAAGGAGGCAGGTGAGTAGAGGGCTGGCTTGGACGAGAGCAGGAGGGTGAGGTGGGATTCTGAGACATTTATACAGGTGAGTTCTCAAGAGAAGATAGCACAGGCGTATGCAGGGATGAGGGCGCATGGCGTGGGCGCAAGGAGGCAGGTGAGTAGAGGGCTGGCTTGGACGAGAGCAGGAGGGTGAGGTGGGATTCTGAGACATTTATACAGGTGAGTTCTCAAGAGAAGATAGCACAGGCGTATGCAGGGAGGGATGAGGGCCCATGGCATGGGCGCGTAAAGGAGGTTGAGTTTATCTTCAGGGCTTGTTGTATTTTTTGAGACGTCTCAAAACTTGAGTTTATCTGCAAGGCGTGGTGTTCTGAGGCATGTGCAAACGTGCATGTAATATCATATTTATCTAAGCGCCTTTTAGCTTCAGCTCATTAGCAGTTTCTGACTACCCCTCCCTCCTCTTTCCTTCCCTTCCTTTTCACCCCCCCAGTCGGACCAAGGCACTCTCCCTGTGACGGCCCGTTCTCTCGAGACCATGATCCGCCTGTCTACGGCTCATGCCAAGCTGAAGCTGCGGCGAGAGGTGAGCTCTTAAGGGGAGTGGAGATACGGAATTGGTGGAGGGAAAAGGTGGGTCTGGTGGTGGGGGCCGACACGAATCTCTCGAGACCATGATTTCCTGGCCACATGCCAAGCTGAAGCTGCGGCGAGAGGTGAGGTCATGGTGTGGGATGGCATGCAGGGGGTGAGCTGTGTTTATAAGTTGCCTCCAGACATGAACCATTCAAGACCATGATCCGCCTGTCCTCCACGGCACATGCCAAGCTGAAGCTGCGGCGAGAGGTGAGGTGAAGGAGGGCTTATATTGAGGTTGTGGTGGGGCATGCAGTCAGATGGTGCGGGGGTGAGTACAACACAGCCTGCATGACAGGCAGGTGAGCTTCAAATTGTCCCTTCCCCCGCCCCTTTCTTCCCCTTGCACCCCACCAGCTGTTGGAATCGGACGTGGCAGCAGCACTGAGTCTGCTGGACTTTGCTCTGTACCATCGCGAGCTGACAGTGGTTCTGATCCAACAGTGGCTTTTTTTCCTCGCCCTACCTCCCCCCCCCTCCAGGTGCTGGAATTAGATGTAGCAGCAGCATTAAGCCTCCTTGACTTTGCTCTGTATCACCGGGAGCTGGATGAGACGGACAAGCGGATGGAGGAGGAGAGGAGGCAGCGCGTGGAAAGGGCACTCATTGCCGTGTGGTCCCCTTGTCCCCTCCAGGTGTTGGAATCCGATGTGGCAGCGGCGCTAAGCCTCTTGGACTTTGCTCTGTAACATCGCGAGCTGGATGAGACGGACAAGCAGATGGGGGAGGAGAGGCAGGACGTGGAATCAGATGTTCGATCTCCTTGCTCCCCCTTCCCATCGCTCCCACTCCCCTCCAGGTGTTGGAATCGGACGTGGCAGCGGCACTGAGCCTCCTTGACTTTGCTCTGTACCACCGGGAGCTGGATGAGACGGACAAGAGGATGGAGGAGGAGAAGCAGCGCGTGGAGCAGCAAAGGAAAGAGGCTGCTGCTGCCGCCGCCGCCGCTGCTGCTGCCGCGACTGCTTCTGGTGATGGTGCTGCTGCTGGTGCTGCTGAAAGTGTGGGTGGAACTGCAGCAGCAGCAGCTGGGGGACGGCCGCGGCGAGGAGGCGGGCGCAAGACAAGGTGCGTAGCTCTTGTGTGTGTGGTTGGCAGAAACGGTGGGTGGGACGTGGAGCGTGTACATTTCTGAACTAAAAAAAAAAAAAAAAAAAAAAAAACTGCAAATGAAAGCTGGGAGCAAAAGAAGGTGCATTGGCATGAATTCAGAGGCGAAAGGGGGCGAGGAGACTTGTGAGCCAAGGAGAGAAACCAGGCTGTATCAGCGCCCGCGAGTTGAGTTTTGAGTCGACTCAAAAGAGAGGGAGCGAGGAGACTTCTCCGGAGTCAAGGACAGGAACCAGGCTGTATCAGCGCCCACGAGTTGAGGTGGCTTTTGATTCAACGGAATTAGGCTGTATCAGCGCCTGCAAGTCGTCTTGCTCTTGCGATCTGTCCCCCTCCCACCTTTTCTTTTTTATGTACCCACTCTTTCCTGCAGATCTCGTGGGAAGAGTCAACGCAGGGATTCACAGGCGGAAGGGAGCGAGGAGGCTCCTGAGTCAGCGATATAACCAGTCTGTATCAGCGCCCGCAAGTCGTCTTGCTTTTGCGATCTGTCCCCCTCCCGCCTTTCCTTTTGGATGGACCCACTCGTTCCTGCAGGTCTCGTGGGAAGAGGCAACGCAGGGATTCACAGGCGGAAGGGAGCGAGGAGGAAGAGGAAGAATATGTGGAGGAGGGGGAAGAGGAGGAGGAAGAGGAGGAGGTGGAGGAGATTGAGATGGAGGAAGCACCTGCAGACAGGGTGCCACAGTACGTTTTGCTTCCCTTCCTTCCTTATTTGTCGGTTTATAGCAGCCTTACGTCATCTTACTCCTGCCCCACCACAAACGTTCACCTTACGTGATTTTGCTCCTCCCCAAGCACCCACCACCCAACCGCACAAACACATCCTTTGATTTATTGATTTTACCATCGTTTTGCCGGTTTTTTTTTTTTTTTTTTTTGCCATTTTTCCTGTCCGTAACCCCCATCTCCTTTCCATATCCCTCTCCCCACCAGCTTGGGTGATCCGGCACCTGCTTCTGCTGCCAATGGGGCCTTTACTGCTGAAAGGTGGGGTTTCTGTTCCTTTCTCCCTCACTCTCTCACATCATCGCCGCCCTAGGTGACCCTTCACCAGCTTCTGCTACAGATGGAACTTTCAGTGCCGAACAGGGGGCTTTATTTTTTTCTGCCCTTTCTCTGTCTTTCTGATTCACGGCAAAGGCAGTTGCCCCTTTCTCTGATTTCCGTTTCTTTGGTTCAGGATGTTGTTGTCGATGTCCACCCAAAAAAACTTGCTTTTTAGGGGTGTTTGTTTTGTTTTTCACGTGTATATTTTGTCCTTTTTTTATGCATAACAATTGTAGATTCGATGCCTTCCACCTGGCGTTCAGTGAGCATGCGGTGGCAGCGCAGGTGACGGAGTTGGGTGGAATGTCATGGTCACATACCTTCTTCTTCTTCTCTCCCTGTGCATGCCAACCCCCAGATTCGATGCCTTCCAGCTAGCGTTCAGTGAGCATGCGGTGGCAGCGCGGGTCGAGTCGATAGCAGTGGAGGAGCTGGCAGAGGTGGTCAACAAGCGGTGGCCGGGAAAGAGCTTCTCTCGGGCTGAAATAGATGCGATGCTGGAGGTGAGGTGATGGGGAGATGAGGGTGAGATGAGGGTGAGATGAGGGTGAGATTGGGGTGAGAAGGGGGTGAGAAGGGGGTGAGATGAGGGTGAGATGAGGGTGGGACAATGGTGAGTGAGGTGAGGATGAATGCATCCCGAGTTAAGTCATTCTGGCCAATGTTTCTCGTTTGGGGTGGAGTACACAAGTGGGTTGCCGTATGCAATGGTGGTTGCACAATTTGGCAAAGAGTTTATGTTCTTAGTGTCGATGGCCGCATGTTAATGGTTGAGGAACCTGTGAAGCTAATTATTTTCTTGTGTCGTCGTGCAGCAAATGGAGGTCAACAACCGAGTCATGGTTGCAAGCGGCGTTGTGCACCTCATATAGCACCCATGACCGAAGTGTTGTCTGGCATTGCTGAAGTGCCGGAACTGGCAAGCTTTCTGGAAAATATGGATGCAGGAGTGAAGCTGAAGAAGAGCAAAAAATTGTACTTTGCCGCATGAAGTTGGCAGAAAAACAAGAGTCGTCTGGCATTGCTGTAGTGTTGCAGACGGAATTCCAATACAACAGGATGAAGTGAAACCCGAAGGGCTAGGTATGCAATTGGGTGGAGTACTCTTGCTGTAAGAGTACAATGATGTCAAATGTAATTCTATGCTTGTAGGCTATAGTGAGTAGCACAATAGGGAGTACAGTTGTTAGGGTTGCATATTTGTACTTCCACACTTTCTAGTTTGATTATTCCGTTGCATTCCTATTCTGAGATGGTATCACGAGTAGGTTAGATCCTCGTTCGTTTTTAGCTAGCCTCCGCGCCCTACGCGCCCTCCGTGCTCTCGCGCCCTCCGCGCCCTCCGCGCCCTCCGCGCCCTCCTCGCGCCTAGCCCGCGCCCTCCCGCGCTGTCCAGCCTGTCGCGCGCCCTCCTTAGACCTCCGCGCGCCCTCCCCCACCGTTGCGCGCCCTCCAAAACCGTCGTGCGCCCTCCTTAGACCGCCGCGCGCCCTCCTCAACCGTCGCGCGCCCTCCTCAACCGTCGCGCGCCCTCCTCAACCGTCGCGCGCCCTCCTTAGACCGTCGCGTGCCCTCCCCTCCGCCTGTCGCGCGCCCTCCTCCGTCAACGCTTCCCGCACACCAGCGTGCGCTTACCGCACACCTGCGTGCACTTACCGCACACCTGCGTGCGCTTACCGCACACCTGCGTGCACTTACCGCATCACTCTGTGTGCGCTTCCCGCACACCTGCGTGCGCTTCCCGCACACCTGCGTGCACTCACCGCACACCTGCGTGCGCCTACTGCACACCTGCGTACACTTACCGCACACCTGCGTGCGCTTACCGCACACCTGCGTACACTTACCGCATCACTCTGTGCGCTTACTGCATCTCTCTCCCCTTCACCTGTGCACCGGTCCCACGCCATTCCTACTGCACTTGGCTCCCGGCTCAGCGGCTGGCAGCCGCTCTTCCCTCCGGTAGCGCCACCTAGGTTCGGTTAGAGCCCCGCCCCACGACTATTTTCTCGCCGACTGTCTCTCTTCGTTTTCCCCGCTGGCGTCCCTAGCCCTCCGTAGTTTTCCTCCTCGTTCTTAGCTTCGCCTCCGCCTTCGCCCCGCTGCTGACTCCTACGGCCCAGGCGGACTACGACCGTCGGGTCCTGGCTCGGGACGTGTGGCTCTCTCGTGACGCGGCCGCCGCCCTCACGCTATCGGAGCTTCTCCCCCCGACTGAGGCCGCTCACTTTGACCAGGTGGAGACAGCCAAGGGGGTTTGGGATGCTATTGTGGCTCGCTATTCCACCCCCTCCTCCGCCTCCCTCAGTCGCCTCCTCATGCCGTTCGTGTTTCCCGACCTAGGCTCGTTTGCGACTGTTTTCGACCTAGTGACTCACCTCCGCTCGCTTGACGCCGGTTTTCGTTCGGCCTGTACCGACGCACAGCTCCTTGTTGCTCCCCCCCCCATGTGGCTCACTGTGCACTGGTTAGTCACCCGCCTCCCTGACCGCCTTGCCACAGCCCGCGACGCGCTTCTTCAGAAGCACCCCACTGAACTCACTATAGACCTCCTTCAGACTGCTCTCGGGACCATCGAGAGCAGCCTCCTCACCGTTCCCTCCGCCACTGATGCGGTGGCCCCCCGTCTCTTTGCGGGGTGTGCCGCCCCTCAGCTTCCCACTTTCACCGCTACCCGCGCTTCTGTTGCTGTGTCGGTCTCTGAGGACACCGCTGCCATTTCTGCCGCAGACTGGCAGAAACGGGGCAAGAGTGGCAAGAAGGGCGGGAAGGGGGGAGGTGGGGGCGGAGGAGGTGGCGGTGGAGGGGGCGGTGGAGGTGGGAGCGGCGGTGGTGGTGGAGGCGGCGGCGGCGGCGGCGGCGGTGGTGCACCAGGGGGAGGGGGCCTTGGAGGAGGCGCAGGACAGACAGGTCCACCCACAGGTGGTGGCCCGACCGGTGGGGGTGCTGCCCCCCAGCAGCAGCAGCCACAGCAGCACCAGCCACAGCAGGGACAGCAGCAGCAGCAGGGACAGCGGCACCGCAGCAGGCGCCGCAGCAGTTCCAGCAGTGGGGGCCCCCGCTGCAGTGGGGTCCGCAACAGCACTGGGGTCCCCCGCCGCAGTGGGGTCCGGGAGGCCCTGGGAGCACCGGCCGCAGCAGCAGCTCTTCCAGCTGGGCCCCTCGCCCCCCTCGTCGTGACGCTGGCCCGTGCACCCACTGGTGCCTCACCGGGCCGGGCAGCCCCTGTCTCTGTGGTCGCGGCGACCACTCTGCCGCGCGGTGCTTCCGCCGCCTCGATGACCTCTACCGGGCTCGTTGGGGCCCTCTGGCGGTCACGCCTCGCTGATCTCGTCTGTTAACCCGTAAGATTGATGTCTTTGATCTGTCCATGGACGATGCGCGTCAGCATGCTTTGTATGTTGATGCTGACTTTAGTGCTGAGGGATTTGTGTGCTCGCGTGTTCGTAGTTTAGCCTGCTTGCCTCCTGCTAGTGTAGCCTTGTGCCTGTCTAGCTTAGGTGCTTGTGTTGCTGCTCTAGGTGCTTGTGTAGCGACTGGGTCAGGTGACCCTCCGGCTGAGGCCTCTCTGTCGTTCACGCTAGACTCGGGCGCGTCTCAGTGCTTCTTCCGCGACCACACGACCCTTACGCCACTCCTCACTCCTGTGTCAGTGGCTCTGGCTGATCCTACCTCTGGACCAGCCGTTGCACGTAGCTCCACCACCCTCCCGTGCCTTGTGGTCCCCTCTGGTGTCCTGCGCGGCCTCCACATCCCCTCGTTCACTCGGAACTTGGTGGGTGTTGGATACCTCCAGGACAGGGGGATCACGGTTACCTTCGTGGGGGGTGGGCGGACTGCAGTTTGCACAGACGCTACCACAGGTGCTGTTCTGGCCACGTTCACCAGGGAGCCCCGCTCCGGTCTCTACGTTCTCCACACCGAGAGCTCCCCGGTCGCGTCCTCCCCTCAGGTCGTTGCGTCCCCTCCGGCCCAGGTCCCCAGTCCAGTTGCTGTGTCTAGCCAGGTAGTCGTGTCTGGTCCGGGCGCTGTGTCCAGTCCAGTCGCTGCGTCTTGCTCCTGTCGCTCTCTCACCCACCGCACCGTCCTGTGGCACCACCGCCTTGGCCACCCGTTGATCCCTCGCCTTCGTGGCATGCTCGGTCAGGGACTTGTCACAGGTCTCCCACGCACCTTCCCGTCGCTCCCTCCCTCGCTTGCCCCTCCTTGCTCTCCGTGCGTCGCCGGTCGCTTACGCGCCACTCCCCACTCCTCCTCCCTTCGTCCGACCACCACTCCCTTCGAGACTCTCCACTTGGACGTCTGGGGCCCTGCCCCGACGCAGGGGTCTGGGAGGGAGCGTTACTTTCTGGTGGTCGTCGACGACTTCTCCAGGTACACCACCGTGTTCCCTCTTGCGAAGAAGTCCGACTCGCGTCGCGCTCTGCTGCAGCCCGCGCGTAGCGCCTTGCTGCCCTGCGCGTCGCGCCCTGCTGCAGCCCGCGCGGCGCGCTCTGCTGCAGGGCGCGTCGCGCTCTGCTGCAGCCTGCGCGTCGCGCCCAGCTGCCCCGCGCGTCGCGCCCTGCTGCCCCGCGCGTCACGCCCTACTGTAGCCCGCACGTCGCGCCCTGCTGCCCCGCGCGTCGCGCCCTACTGCAGCCCGCACGTCGCGCCCTGCTGCAGCCTGCGCGTCGCGCCCTGCTGCCCATCGCGTCACGCACTGCTGCAGCCCGTGCGCCAGCGCCCTGCCCTGCGCCAGCGCCCTACCCTGCGCCAGCGCCCTGCCCTGCGCCAACGCCCTGCCCTGCACGCGCTGGCGCCCTGCCCTGTGCCAGCGCCCTGCTCTGCGCCAGCAACCTGCCCTGCGCAAGCGCCCTGCCCTGCGCCAGCGCCCTGCCCTGCGCCAGCGCCCTGCTAAACCCTAAATAAAAATATATATATATGAAAGGCCCTAGGTGCTTCTGCCCTAGGAGCTACTGCCTGCTGCTGCCTGGTACTGCCCTGCTCTGGCCGCGCGCCGCCCTGCTCTGGCTGCACGCCGCCCTGCTCTGGCCGCGCGCGCCCCTGCTCTGGCCGCGCGCCGCCCTGCTCTGGCCGCGCGCCGCCCTGCTCTGACTGCGCGCCGCCCTGCTCTAGCCGCGCGCCGCCCTGCTCTGGCCGCGCGCCGCCCTTCTCTGGCCGCGCGCCGCCCTTCCCTGACCGTGCACCGCCCCGACCTACCCTAGTGCCTCCTCGCCGCCCTTCCTGCCCTGCGTGCTGCCCTGCTGGTCGCATGACTTCCTTTCACAGCAGCGGTGGGAGTGGTGGCGGCGGTGGCGGCAGCAGTGGGAGTGGTGGCGGCCTCAGTAGCATTCGCTTTGGAGCTGTTCGGTGGGGAGTTTATGCGGTGGCCAGATGCAGCTGCAGCGACGTTCGAGCGAGACCCTTACGCCCCAGCAGCTTCGTGAGTGGTACGCCCGTAGATGTAAGCGGCGGCAGTAGTGGCAGTCGCGGTGCAGCTAGTTGGTTAGGAGTTTCTGGCGGTGGCCTGGTGCAGTGCAGCCGCGTCCGCGCGAGACCCTTACGCCCCAGCAGCTTCGTGAGTGGTACGCTCAGTGTGGGGGGTCTTTGAGTAGTGCCCGCTGCCAGTACGTTATTCGCACAGGTGATCGGGCTGGTCAGACATGCAGGACACCTGGCCACACACAGTCACGCTGCTTAACTTGTCTGAGCGACACCTAGCATGCAGAGTTTGGCGACGCAGCTGAGCTCCCCCGCTGGCTAGAGCTGCTTAGGCAGGGCGTCGATGTCTTTGCGCTAGACTATGACGCCATCCTTACTGCCATGTATGCATTGACTGCTAGTGCTGAGGGTGACTGTTACTTGTGTATGCCACCCGAACCAGGTATAGAGG